GGGGGGCCGGGGGGCCCCCCCCCCCCCCCCCCTGCTCCCCGGTTCCTACGCCCCTGTAAATGTCTAATACAAGTATTATCATAATGACTTAAAAAAACTCGTGAATACTTTTTATCATTAACATTCTGTCATGAGCTCGACCTTTGAACTTACAATATGAGTAAATTGTTTATTAAACACGTCCGAAATTATCATTTATCAATCCTTCTGAAAGCTTGAATAATTGATGAGGACATACCAATCTCAACTCGTGTTAAAACGATCTAAAACGCATAATTATATCTGAAGAGGTGTGGGAAGTTTCGTAAGTTAGGTAAACGAAAGTATCAGTTGTCATATTTTCTGTGTTGGTGTAGTGGACTCAGGTGAATGCTTGTGATGTTACTCTGAGTGTATATACACACCGGGCAGGCTTGAAAATTATACTTGACCACGGTGGGAATCGAACCTACGACCTTTGGAATACTATAGCCCAATGCTCTGCCAACTGAGCTACGTGGTCAGGTCGGTTCGAGTGTATGATATTTCGGAACTGAGTCTAGTTTCTTCGATATCGTTGTAATCTAGTAATCATGATATTTTCTGTGTTGGTGTAGTAATCATGAAATTTTCTGTGTTGCTGAGCCCCCCTCTTCTACACCCCTGTATGGAAACCTGGCTTACTGGCACTCACATGTCATCATTTAATCGTCAAACTCATCGTCTCCACGTGTATGTCTCTCGTATCACGAGTATCCACTTTGACATTCGCGTTCTGTTCAGCTGTTGTTCTTCGCTCTTCCATAAAGTCACGTCTCTGAGCCTGTGAGCCGTTCATCGTTATAAGTAGTCTGACAAAACCTGCAATCGGAAATAATCATGGAAGAAAATATATTTTGGTTTTAATAACGTTTTGGGCTGGTAAGTGCCTCGTGCTCACAGTCACTCTCATCAACTGTCGTCAATTTTGAGCTGATTACAGTTTTGATGAGACTTTTTGCTTGCCGTTTGACCTGTAATATTCTAGTCAACTCTCGCGTAAATTCAGGCCCGTTTCAGGCGGCGTACTCTTCATGTGCCGAACTTGATTGTACTGATTAGATGGCAGATGCGACGATGGAGGTGATACAAGAACCTTGAAGAACGGTTTGAACGGCAGTGATTCAAACGGCGTACCAAATACAATGTTATTGAAAAGGTTGGAGCGCATTCGCCAGGGAAACATAAATAAAATTCAAAAACAAATAAGTCTATTTCTAAATTTAATACAAGATGCCTAATCTGAAAGTACTAGAACAAATCAGTTTCGACAATTCGGGATATAGTTTCATGTCTCGCTGTTTTGTTTGCGTCAGGGCAGGAATTAGGGACAGTATTCATCACCGAGCGACACATGGGAAGACACGTTGAGCAACCACCAGTGACGTCCAACTCAGTATGAGCAAGATAATGTGCAGGCGGGAAAAATTGTCAAGTACGTCTTTGTACTTCGTTGTCTTGCTCAAACTCTCTCTTGATTCACCGACGCCGCTCTTTGTTCTTCTGCCTTCGTGCAGTTGGGCCAAAGGCTGGAATCTGAGCCTATGCAGTACCAAGTTTACGACGAATTTTGCCAAAATATTCGTCGCGAACGAAGACGGGATATGGATTCATTCATTCGCTGTTTTGTCCTGATCAGGGTCAGCATTCATAAACAGCTAGACATGAATCTCTAATCTGTCTTCACCCCTGACCATTACATAAACTCAGAATGCGCAAGATATTAAATGTGCAAGACAGGCAAAAATTGTCAACCACGTCGTCGTCGTCCTACTTCGTTCTCTTGCTTTGCTCAAACTCTCTGATGTCGCAGTTCTCGCTCCAACAGTCGCATAATGCGACAAGCTCTGCCAAACTTGTGTCGAACTTTTCCCGCTCCAAATTCTGCCGTAGTTAGTAGTTTGTTCATACGTCGTTCTTCTGCCGTACCTGATTCGTCAATTAAAGGGTTATGATCAACCACAATGCAGTGCGCGCTTTTGTTTACGTTTTTTCAGTTACTTTCCTCAATAGTTGGCGCCATTTTCTGGCCACAAAAATGGCTGCCTCACAACGTAACAGAAACGTAAACAAACGCACGTGGGCAATGTGGTTGATCATGACCCAGTATAGTTGAAGGGTATTGTAGATCATAGTCTTTCGAGACATGGTCTGGAAATTCAGTAAACTTCGAATTTATAATGAGCTTCGAATTTATAATGAGCGGTTATAATGAGCTGGGAGTTTATGTTGAGCCGTGCACATCCTTTGTTTTAGGTTTATTAATATTTAAATAGCATGGTTGAATGACTGAATTGAACTGAAACGTTGCGATTGGATGATTCGTTCATTATACTGACATACAATGTGTTCATTGACCGTGCACCATGCAGAAAACTGCATAAACGCGAACAAAAAGATAGAACAAAGACTTTAGCGGAGTTTCCAAACCATGTTTTGAAAGACTATGGATTGAGTGGAAATTTACATACATTTGGAGTAGAGCTAACCAGGAACAGAAGCGAAAAATGCAACTTTAGGAGTCCCTGGCAGGAATGGAACCTGCGGCCCTGCGATCAGTCCGGTGCAGTGCTCTAACCAACTGAGCTCATAGATATAAGATATCTACGACTGAGCTACAGGGGCCAGTTGTCGAGCTCTAACCACAAGTTCATGTATATACAACTAGGGTACCCCCATGTGTAGGTCATGGGTAATATCAAGATTTTGTTGGCATCTCACTAGCTCGATCGGAATATATAGTTGAAGGCTCTTGTAGATGGAAATTATCGAGTGGAAATTTTTATACATTTATTAGACCTAACCAGGAACAGAAGCGAAAAATGCGACTACAGGTCCCAGACAGGAATCGAACCTGTGGCTTGGCGTTTCCGGTGCAGCGCTCTAACTAATGAACCAGGTTCAACCTCGTACCCAGGCTCTTACCTTCGCACAGGTAAGACCCTGGGTACGAGGTTGAACCTGGTCTACTGGACACTGTACGACCATTTTTTTTTGTGTTTTTTTCCCAACAGGTATTAATCTATGAGTTGAAATTCTGAGCTTTGTAACAGCTTGACGCTGTTTAGCATTGCTAATTTCAGAAATATATTTTTCAAATTCAAAACATATTTTGAATTTTTTGAATGTTTTGAACATGCCTAGCTTGATTTCAATATGATAATCAATTGATCATCAGCAAGAATCTTCACTAATTGTTCAGTTAGACCACAGTTAGACATGCGCTTCACTGGAAATATATCTGCTTATCATCAGACAATTTGCACATGGTTTACTTTAAACAAAATTATATTGTGGGAAGGCGCGGGGGGGGGGGGAATAGGGGTATACAAATCCGCCGATCCGCTCAAATTTCGGAAGCAAAATCCGCGATCCGACAATGGTCCTGTCTAAATTTGGATCCGCTAAAAGCTCTCACTATGAAGTCACAATCCAAGATCCCGAACTAAATTGCAAGCTAAATCCACAATCCGAGCCAAAATAATAGATAAATCCGCAATCTGCTGTGTTAAAAATACTTGCCAGATCTGAAATCCGAACCGAATTTTTTCTGTGAAATCCGACGATCCAAAAACCTCCCCCCCCCCCTCCTGGGAAATAGCTGGAAATGCACAAACTGTGATCTGTGCGGAGTCTAATTTATTTCCCGTTTTACATTACTGTATGTAACCAAAATAATGCCATAAGTAAACCAAACGCCCGAAACGTAATAAATATTTTCTAACATAACTTGGCGCACCACATTTGGAATATTAAGATTTATTTTAGTGGTTCATTAAGTCTTATTCAACTAAGAACGGTTAAATTAAACAAGTCGTTTAACTTAAAAAAGGGTGCGCAAGTATCGAACGATACCACATCGATACCGATACCACTGTTTGTGGTATCGCTGGTATCGAATACACGCGTAAAAATTGAGAAAATCAAACAACTTGTTCCAGGTTGATATCAACAGGCGTGAACAAGGTTGTGCGGCCCACTATGAACAGTATTGTCAACATGTTGTTACAGCATTGTTCAACTGTAACAACTTGGAAAACTCAACAACATGGTTGACAACTTGTTCATAGTTGGCCGCACGCCTGTCGATATCAACTTGCAACAACAGACATTCCAACCACTGGAAGTAAAATTTAGGGAGACTGTTCAGTGAATTGAAATCTAGTTTTTCTGGGAAAAAATAATAAAAAGTCTTCTGAAATGGCGTTTCCTGCATTTTGGGACTATGTTGTTATAAGTGATCCTATAAATTGCCATAAAGCAACTTCAAAAAAGGTCAAGACAGACTATTATGTTGCTAAAAATAGTATATTTATAATTTTTTATGATATTTCCTGAATATTCTGAGAAATTGGGAGAATTTGATAAAAATCGGGAGACCGGGAGATTGCATGAATTTTCGGGAGACTCCCGGTAAAATCGTGAGAGTTGGAATGTCTGCAACAACCTGTGCGTTTTTAGCCGTGTACCGAGTACTCGATATCGCCCATCACTATACATATACATAAATAATTAAGAATGGGTAGCCTGCATGGCAGGCGGTACGTAGGAAATACCTTTGCTTCCCTAATTTTCGCTGCCCGTAGAAATACCGCCTGCCATGCAGGCTAAAGAATGGGCGGAAAATGTCGCACTATTTTTGTTACAACGGTACAGCCAATATCGACACAATATTGCTTTGTAACTGTATGGGCATAATATATCAGAATAAATTTAGCTGTAACTGTATAATTATAACAGCAACATATACTATTACGATTATAGCATGTATTAAACGTGTGAGGTTTGGCAATGAATGGGACTTTGTTTATATAAATTTGTCACGTTGGTAGAAAAATACCGAAACAGTGTTTCATACACATTCACGCCAGGTTTTAATTTTAAATTAAGCAATTTTCCTGCGGCACCAACAGGTCCCAACACGGCAACAGCCATCGACGTTTCGTAGTGTTTATAACACTTGTAAAATTCAAGTTATTTTGCAAGATAGAACGAAAGCTAAACGTAAGGATAAAAAAGTATTTATACTTTGCTACAAAAATCTTTAAACATAACTTTACCGGTCACAGGTGCACATTTTGTCAGCAACGCGCTCAAATGTTTGAACAGTAAACAAAGCATGTTGTTGAAATCATATTAAAATGCAAAATGCCAAATAATGGTAATAAGTCTAATAAGCCGCATTTTGAATACATTAGTGCCATAATGGCTTCTGTGTGCGTCTTTCTTCAGTACCGGTACGAAATTGGCTCGTTTGGGATATTAAAGTAGTTTTTGTGCCTTGTTTTGAATCGTAAACGCTGAATAACTATAAGTGGGTGAAGTGACGGTTCTTTAATTCTTGAGTTACTGAGATCTCGAGTTAGGGAAACGGCATATCGGTAATCCTCGTCGTATTTCTGAGGCTTGTCTTTCGATTCACGTGGTAAGTAGCCAAGTTAATTCTCACAGCTATGCAAGCCTGATATATATTATAGTAATACTATATATACATACAGTAATATATAAAAAACAGCTGCATATCATCCTTGATATACTAGATTTGACAGGATTATACGAAATCTAAACCAGTTTTTCCTGATGGCTGACGAGATTTGCATTGTAAACGAAGCCAGGCTGTTTGCACAATGGATGTAATAGGTCTATATAATAATAGTGTCATTTTGTTCATGTGGTAAAATTGACTAATCGTCAGCCTTTCATATCGAAGTGCTAACGATATTTGATAAAACGGTTGAAATTGTCGCACGAAACTCGAACACAATATTGCAAAGTCGGTATTAACACAACAGGCGGTACGACCATATCCACACGACTATATAGTCGGTAAAGTATGCGGGTAAATGGCGACTGTCAGTCGCGCATCATGTACACTTCCAATCCAAACGCTAATCCTAACCCAAACCCTAATCCTAACCCTAACCCTAATCCTAAC